AAATTAAATCTCCAGATTTTTTACAAAGCTTCTGCTTCATGTAGGTACATCAGAGTATATGACATCAACATGTTTGCTTTTAAATTTCCAAAAAAATGTCACTATTACAAATTTATGTTTTTTTTTGTGTGCTTCCTGTAACAACTCAACTGCACGTTTGAGTATCTTTATATAAAATAAGATAATTTTTAACTATTTCTATTGACTTTTCTACATTCATTGTGTCTTTTGAAGTTGCGAATTCTTGAAAGATATGCTGCTTTCATGTTGCTAACTACAATGCCATCATAAACAATACTATAATTACAGATTATGTAAAGGAAGAAGTTATATAGTGGTTGTATTTTTCATTGTCATGCAGTATATGCTTGCTTGTGGTGTAATTTTTATAATACTGACGAATTTTGTGAGCCACTTCGTTTGTAAAATATGCTAAAGTTAACAAAAATTGAACGTACATATAATTTTTTTAATTGACTTTTTTATCTACGTTTAATTTTTGTTGAGTTTAACATATTTGACTAACGAAGTAATTTACAATAAAGAAACCACAATTGTTTTTATTTTTTGGATTGAAGTTTGTTACAACCTTTATTTCAGATTAAAATAAATTCTATATGTACAAATAAGGATCATATACATTTTTTCATGCATGCATCGTTTTTAACAGCTTTGGGAAGTGACGCACGTATGTTTCACGATGATACTGCATTATTCTACATTATAAGATGGAAAATAAAGGCGAAGTTCATACATATGTGCTATGTTAAAGAAGTGTATTTATAGAAAAATTACAATTTCTTTCCTCTTCCTCAGTAACACAAAAAGGTAATCATAATTCGATTTTGAGGGATGGAATATTTAATAAGCGAAATCAATAGATGATTTTGATTATTACAATTGTGGACATTTGTCTACCGTAACGCATTCGCCTTTATCATTCAGCACAAAACCATTTTCGCATGCACAGTTTGCAATACAACCCTGTAACAAAAATACGAGTTCAGATTATATACATTAATTAATATTTCAATAAACTCTTTGAAAATTGCGTTCGTTATAATTGGAATACAGTTAAATGATACAACAACAGCGATAATTTGATGCAGAACGATTAATGAATAATTAATTTATTAATTTTTATTGAAATAGTTTTCTATATCGTGGCACCAATTCGCAGGTAAACCAAATAGAACGACGTATTTAAGTTCTAACCGGAGAAATGGGAGGACAATGGATTCCTGTAGGATTTGTGCAGGTTGCTGGACAGAGAGATACGCAAGACGACCAAACTGCATTCTTTTGGCAAGTTACCTCGGCCATTGCTATAATTAAAAGGACAATTTATTAGTATAATATTTTTGTAACATATATATACGAAAATATTTTTGGTAACAATATCTTTGAAATTAATTAGGTAGTGCCAAAATGTTACCGTCACAACAAAGAGGACTTTCCGGTTTTTCAACTTGGTTTTTAGTTGGGCAATCTTCTACAATTCAAAAATCAATTTTAAATGCGATAAACCAGGTTGAAATGCAGAAATTATTGTATAAAAATTAATTGTTTTGCAAATGCATTTCATTATTCTTCTGTGGCAGCACTTTGATCAGTCATAATTCTGTGGTCACTTTATGTTTTCTAAGATTAGAAGAACAATACTAAAAGAAATTTAGAATAATTTATATTTTCTATAGATTTTAATTATTATTAAATTTCTTCCATTTATGTTTCTTTATAAAATAAGTAGAATAAATTATTAGTTTATTTTGTTCAAAATGTTTTTTGCGCGATTAATAATTTTTGAGTAATTTAGATTTGTCACGTTAGGGAGCCATTCTGTACACTAAATGAATTGAAAATGTTCCACATAAACGCGGACATTTCGCTTCCGTTTTAATTACGCTTTCTTTTGCTCTTTATACAAATTTGGAAACCAGTATTTTAGAACTATTGACACTTATAATCAAATTTTATCAAAAGAATTTTTGTATGGACCTTAATAACGAAAAATTTTCATGATATAATTTATAATATTTACGGATACTTGATAGTGAAATATTTCATAAAAGTTCTATCATAAAACCATGTTTTCTAACTTCAATACTCACCAGTGTGTACCGTCATGAATACAGCGAACAATACAAAAGTAAAATATGACATCTTTACTTTGCAAAATTGAACATCGAGTGTTTCTAGTAGATTTGATGGCACCTTGAAGTTCGTTTTACGTTTATATTCACGCTTCGCGGTCATATGTAAATTTGACTCAAAGGAAGCAAATATTAGCACATTACCAGTTAGATAAGCACAGTAAAAAACGTTTCCTAGCTATTATTGCAAGCAATTACTATAGATTAGATTATCAGCTGTATATGTAAGTTAGAAAAGACCAATATTAATGTGACGAATTCTGTAAAATAACGATCTGCGTCATTATATGTTTATGTTTTTCGTATACCTTGATAGTGGTAGATAACGACAATGCAAATGCTAATCTTTTCGATTAGATTTTGCACACTGGTAGAGCTCATAAAACTGAAGCTAATGATATCCGGTTTTGGGTGCAGACGGCTTTTAGTTTTTGAGATATTTAATGTTGAAGTTGGTGAAGGAAACAATAGGATTGAGGGTGAGTGAGTCTTCTCATAGTTGTTTACTTTTCTTTACTCCAACACTTGTGTGCACTTCTCTGACATCTTCGTCTCCCCATCCTGCCGCATGCTGCCGCGGCTTGAAATCCAATTTATCTTTCTGGATTTGTGACTGACAACTTTAACGTTAAATATCCGAAGAACTATGAGTCATCTGCATGCAACACCGAAGAGTTTTACGAGCTCTACCACTGTGCGAGATCTCATCAAAAAGTGAGTGTCACGCCTGGGGATCTCTCCTTCGTAGATGGAATATATTATAGGAATAAGAAATAATGACGGGAATGATGCGTTTTGGAACGAAGAAAAATAAAATATATTTACATATTATATTAATCACAAATTGTGAATCGTGTTCTGAATATGCCGATTTGCGGTTTGTTATTGATTTAATTATTTGCAGAGTTGTCTCTGAACCGCAAATTAGTTGATTGGATTTAGTTAAATACTCAGGTATTCACGTATTGAAAGTGATGCAAGGAGAAATAAATGTGGTTATATTAAGACGTGTAGATTCAAATGCTAGTGAAAGAGATATCTGTAAATTATGGTATGTTGTCTTTGAGAAACTCTTCTCGATAATTAGTGGATGAAGTAAGTTTCTGATCAAAGGAGATGGTAAAGTTTCAGAGTTTAAATAGTAAGCGGTATTTATGAAACGTTCGCTTTAATATCGTCTTATTCATCGTCCGCCAACAGCAATTAACCTGTCTCAAACCAGTGATTTCGCGAAGTTATCCATTTTCAAGTTGATAATCTCGAGTCTTCATACCCGGCATTTTTCCTTTTTACGGAAATCAAAATTTTGAAGACTCACACGTTCGAATAAACATTTATTTAAACTTATCGAATAAATATTTATTTGATCATTTTTTAGTACTGATTAAATTATCGAACGAACCATTGTTTAACGTTCCTTATATTTTTCGCAATGAGACAAAATATGGATGACCATATTACGATTTATTAGTTGGTTTCACCATTTCACTGAAAAATGACTAATGTGTGGAGAGTTGTTCAATATTATTAATTTCTTTGTTAGAGTCAACAAAAATTGAGAAATGTTGGACTTATTGGGTTATTGAAATCTCTTAGTTTTTTTTTTGCACATGTGTACGAACATTTTAAAGATGAGGAAAAATAGGGATTTCAAAATTCTGAGGCCAGAATTTCGAATGTTAGAATTTTCAAAACATCTGAAGCTTCTTGTACCTTATTCTGAAACTTATCTGCCTTGATCATTCAGTAAAATTCTATAGAGATGTAACTACTCTAGCTGCTATAAGAATTGATTGAACTGCGAACATTTTCACTTTTCGGAAATTTTCGAAATTCCATCTGCATTCATATCAATGACTTCAAATTTTACGAACCTCGTAAAGGAGGAAACTAAAAGTACTGTTTTTGTATACCTTTATTATGATTAATTAGTACAATTACAATTAGTACAAATTCCTGAAGTTGCACATTTTAACGATGCCATTTTTCACTAGAAAAAATTGCTTTTATTTTTCAGTTTTTTTAACAATGATTTGCCATTCTTTTGTTGGATACAATATTGAACATGATACAAATGCAGGTGACGATATAAATGGAGATATAGGTAATCTGTGTATATGCACATGAGTTTTTAAACTGTTTATTTAAGAATTAACATCATTTACTAAAAATCACTGTTCATAATTAATTAAAAAGTAACTTGAAATATATATCTAGTTAAGTGTGGGAAGGTTGGCCAATTTGTTTTACGAATTGAAACATTTTTAACAGGTATTATATATTTTAGTAATATTGCTATATGTTACTATGCTTTTAGAAATGTACGTTCGTATCCAACCTCTTCTTCGAAATTGCTTATATTATACGCGCATGAAATGTTAAGCTATACGTAAGTCTTCGATTAAGTTCTCAAGTATCTGCCAGCAAATAGTACAAACACCGTCATCCGAAACTGCACGAAATTAAACTCTAGATTTCGTTAGAGTTTCTATTATTGCTATTTATCTGTATCGATTAAAAAGATTTTAATCGTCTTACATCACTTTCCCGTTCCGCTCATATTTTATAAATCTCATGCATAAGCTTTAAAACGCATTGTTTAAATTTCTTTGTTCTAGGCTCAAACAAAAAATCGGGAAACATCATTTTTTCGTCATTCCAATCAATTGTAATTTTTGTTGAACAAATTCACGCCGTTTGGTCGAATTTTTAAAAAGTAATTCCATTTTAAAAGGCGTTCGAATACTTTCGTGGTTGAAGAGATATTTGAAGAGAATAATGTGCAAGCGTAAAAACACTACCCTTAGAACACAAGAAAAATCGGAAGTTCTTCAAAACGAGAGGATGTACACCAAAACAAGGGATAAGGATATGCAAGAGGTGTAAATGCGCAATAAAACGAACCAATGGGTGTAACAGGATCTGCAGGGAAATAAGAACGGCGGAACAACTTCAATATACGTAGAACTACGCGAAGAGGGGAGTGGAGTTTGAGAATTAGGATAGAGCTAGGTTTACGTTATGAAACGGAATGGGAGAGGAGACATATTGGTTCGGGGAGTAAAACAGACTGCTGGGCATGCGGAAGTGAGGAGAATCAAATTGGGAACATATGTTGGGTGGGTGTGTCAAAGAAAGGGTGAAGGAGGAAGTGAAATGAAGGAATGATGAAGAGCATTTGAGAGGAAGATGGAGGATTGAACGAAGGAGAATGTTGAACTGAATGAAGGAGACTGGAGAATTAGATGAAAGACGTGGAGTACTGAATGAAGGAGTTGGCATTGATAAGGAAGACAAGCGGAGGGACTGAAAGAGAGAGGATGTATAAAGTGATAGAGTGGAGATACGACGAAGAACAGGGGGTGGTATCGAGTCAGATTAAGGTAAGTAGATTAGGTAAATGAGAACGAACGACGATGACGTGCGGGTGTCATATATGCGGGAAAGTAGTTAGAATGGAAGCACGACGTACGTTATAAGATTAGTAGTGAGAGTAAGCGAACATTGTTGGCAACAGTAAGTCAACGTATTTCAAAAGACAACTTAACGTTGCCTTATTTATATGTTATTTGACATATTTTATTTATATATTTTTTAAATTTATTATGACTGCGAAACTTTGAAGAAGGAATCAGAATTTCAATGTCGGGATTTATTGATGTTAGAACTGTCTTTGTTAATGGAAGTAAGGAATGAGGCAAAATATATTTTACAGCGAAGTTAACTTATTTTTCCTGCGATTTGTAAGCAACGAAGTGAATAAAATTATGAAGTTTTTCGTTTAGCACAGTGTATCTATATAAGGATACATATTTACTAAAAATTTATAGGAGCAGATACTTTGTTACATCGTTTGTAGACAATATATTGTCTATAAATTGGAGTGATAGTTAAATAAATTCATTACATTGTCATTGTAATAGTTGTGTCGAAAAATTTTGCGTCTCGATTGTACAAAATAGAATTCAAATAAAAATATGTTTATTTTTTTAATAGTTTTAATAAATTGAATATAATGCCACAACACATACTTAATTATATCTTGTATTCTTAATATCCATTCTAGTCAGTAATGATACATGCCGTTAACATCAAATACAAAATGCATACATAATAAAAGAATTCATACAACTAAATTTTAAATAGCTTTATTCTTGAGTTTCAAAAATGTTTTAGCATCTTAACGAATAATTTTAATGCTATCTTCGAAAAAAGCAAATTTCGGTCGGCAAGATTTTGTTCTTCCAAAGGGCACTCTAAGCATTTAAAAATTTATATCGTAAAAATTTTCGTTCAGTTTTAAGTTTCAAAGAGTGGGTAGTACAGATCGAACAATTCTTCTACTTTTAAAGTAACTGTTAAGTGTGGCAACATTTATAATTTAAAAATAATTTCTACAGTTGCTAAATAACTGTTGAAAAATGGGAATTTTGTTTCTATCCTTCAATACCTAGCAGAAATTGATGGAATTTTTGCGTTAAAAAGCTATTTTAAGGACGATCCTGACATTTTATGAATAAAAACATCATATATCTTAACTGAGCATGTGTCATCCAATTACACATCATTTATTTCCTAACTACTCTTTACCTTGACGAACTTGATTGTATCTATTCTTGTTATTAGTATTAGTGCCATGAGTGTTGCTACGATAAACTTCGATAGATTTTGTTATTGATAACGGTAGGACATTATTGTCTTCACGAACATTAATTTCTTAATCATATTTTACGCTAAACTTCTGAAAAAGCTTTCAATATTTCTGTGAACGGAACGAAACATTACATTCGTGTTAAGCTCTTCGTGTTCACATTCGGCACGACACGACATTACATAAACCCACGAGCTCTCCTCGATGAACGGCCATTATCTCCGTGAAATCCACTTTCCGACGAATTTAGTCTTGTTCTTGCACCAGCAAGAAGTCCCCAGGCGTGACACTCACTTATTGATGAGATTTTTGCACAGTGGTAGAGCTCGTAAAACTGAATCTAATGATTCCTGGTTTTGGGTGCAGACGGCTTATAGTTCTTGAAATATTTAATATTAACCCTTTGCACT